CAAGGGGTATTGAGGTAGATAAGGCTAAAATTGATTTGATCACTAGTCTACCCTACCCTACTAATGTCAAGGATATTCGTAGTTTTCTAGGCCATGCAGGTTTTTACAGGCGTTTCATAAAAGATTTTTCAAAAATTGCTCAACCATTGTCTCGCCTGCTTCAAAAGGAGGTGCCATTCAACTTTGGAGATGATTGCAAATTGTCCTTTGACACACTCAAGGGTATGTTGACCACGGCACCAATCATCCAACCCCCAGACTGGAAGCTATCCTTTGAGCTCATGTGTGACGCCAGTCAGTATGCCGTAGGAGCTGTGCTTGGACAACGGAGTGGGAGGTGCAGTCACGTGATATACTATGCGTCAAAAACATTGACACCAGCTCAATGCAACTACACCACCACGGAGAAAGAGCTTCTAGCTATTGTTTTCGCTTTTGAGAAATTTAGATCATATCTATTGGGGTCAAAAGTAACGGTTTACTCTGATCATGCAGCTTTGAAGTATCTCTTGTCAAAAAAGGAGTCCAAGCCAAGACTCATTCGTTGGGTGCTCTTGCTGCAAGAATTTGACTGGGAGATCAAGGATCGGAGAGGGGTGGATAATTCAGTAGCTGACCATTTGAGCAGGTTGATAAGAGAAGAGGAAGCAGTTCCCATATCTGAGGTATTTCCTGATGAACATCTTTTCTATCTCAAAGGTAAGGAACCTTGGTATGCAGATATTGTGAACTTTTTGGTCAGTCATAAATTCCCTATTGGCATGAGTAAGAGTAAGCGAGATAAGATAGTCCATGATTCTCGATACTATATTTGGGACGAGGCATATCTGTGGAAAATAGGTTCTGATCAAATTATTCGTAGATGTGTATCTGAAAGTGAAACTCCTTCTATCCTTGCTCATTGTCATAATTATGCATGTGGTGGCCATTTTGGACCTAAGAGAACTGCTAGAAAAATCCTTGATTGTGGCTTTTATTGGGAAACATTGTTTCGTGATGCTTATGCATTTTGTAAAAGCTGTGAAAAATGTCAAAAATTTGGGAGTTTGTCTCATAGGGATGAAATGCCTCAAGTGCCTATGTTATTTTGTGAAGTGTTTGATGTTTGGGGTATGGACTTTATGGGACCTTTTCCTAGCTCTTTTGGATTTTTGTACATTCTGTTAGCAGTTGACTATGTATCGAAATGGGTAGAAGCGAAGGCTACCCAGACTAATGATTCTCAAGTTGTTGTAGGATTTCTCAAATCCCACATTTTTAGTAGGTTCGGGGTGCCGAGAGCCATCATCAGTGATCAAGGTACCCACTTCTGCAATCGCACCATTGCAGCTCTCATGAGAAAATATGGAGTGCACCATCGTGTGAGTACAACATATCATCCTCAAACCAATGGGCAAGCTGAGGTCTCCAATCGAGAGATCAAGAGCATATTGGAGAAAACGGTTAACCCCAACCGTAAGGATTGGAGCTTGCGATTGGATGATGCTTTGTGGGCATATCGAACGGCGTATAAAACGCCCATTGGAATGTCCCCATATAGGTTGGTATTTGGTAAGATGTGTCATTTACCTGTGGCTATTGAGCATCGTGCATTCTGGGCAGTCAAGCAATGCAATTTGCATGCGGATAGAGATGGCAAAGAAAGGAAGCTCCAACTCCAGGAGTTAGAGGAAATTCGTCTTGAAGCATATGACAATGCACGTTTGTACAAAGAGCGTACCAAACAGTTTCATGACCGCCTATTGCGTACGAAACACTTTTCCCCAGGACAAAAGGTACTCTTGTTCAATTCACGGTTGAAATTCATGCCAGGTAAGTTAAAATCCCGTTGGATTGGACCATATGTGGTAGTCAATATTTTTCCCAATGGTGTGGTTAAAATCCAGAGTTTAGAAACTAATAAGAGTTTTACGGTTAATGGTCATCGTTTAAAACTGTTTGTTGATGTTTCAGACATTGGCACTGTGGAAGAGGTACACTTGATAGATCCTATTTATGTCTAATTACTCACGGTGGAGTCGTCTAGCCAAAGACGTTAAAGAAAGGCGCTTCTTGGGAGGCAACCCAAGGCCTCCATTTTTTGTTATAGTTCTCTTTCGTTTTTCGTTGATTTTGGGTTGTTTTGTTTCATTGCAAGTGTTGTTTTTGGTGTTGGGCAGGAGACTTGGATTTACAAGGCATGCCCACGCCTTATAAGTGATGCTCTTGAACACCATAGAAATGCTTGGGCAGAAGACTCTGCCTTGTAAGGCGTGGGCACGCCTTACAGCAACTCTAGTCCACTCTGGGGACACAGGCTTAGATTGCAAACTCCCGCTTCCATCTGAAGCAACGCTACACCACATCATCGTCAGAGACTCCACGCTGCCAGTCCCTGACACCTCCTCTACCATGGTGTTTTGCTGCAGGTTTTATTCATTCAGGGAAGTTTTGTTTGCTCCCTTCACTTGACTTCAACTTTTCGTTCTTACATTGAGGACAATGTAGACTTTAGGTGTGGGGGGAGTAGTCTAGCTTTTCCTTCTGACTACTTTTCCTTCTTCCCAAAAAAAAAAAAAAAAAAAAAAAAAAAAAACCTTTACCATGCCTTTTGGATTTTTGTGGTTAGCCTTGATAAGTAATGGCTAGATTTTCAAATTTAACTATTGTTATGGTTTTAGATGATAATATGTTAAGTATGATATGGTAAAATTTTAGGATGACTCTCTGGTAAATATTTGAGATTTTGTGACTCTTGCAATTTCTTTTGGTTAACTTTTCTAGGCATTGTAAATATTTTTCTGACATTTTTGTGTGAACTGGTTCAACGATTAATCTTAGTTCTCCATGTTAAGGAAATGAAGCAGGCTTGCATGGTTTTAATTTTACTTGGGTGTTTATTTGTGAACAATATTCGGCTATACTCCGCTGGTTATCATTGACTAGTAACCGGGGATCGTCACCTAAAGTGTCGATTTTCGCGTCAAAAAGCAGCGATAATTATGAGTATGTGGTCTTTAAGCGGTTAAAGTTGAGTAACCGGGCTCCTGCATTGGAGAGATGTTGGAGTTCGCGTCAAAAGACTTGAATGGCTCAAGACTAAGCACTTCTTTCAAGAAGAAAAAAAAAAAAAAAAAAAAAAAGAAGGGAAAAGAAACGAAAAAAATGAAAAAAATGAAAAAAAAAAAAAAGAGTATACGAGCATGAAAGTATGTGAATAATTGTATTGCCTGCGGATCCATGAGTTTTTATGTTGAGATTTTGCTTAATAGTTGGACCAGTTATTGAGAAAATGTTGGTTGAATATTTTCTATTCTTAGATTAGTTAGTCTGGATTTGAAAGAGTCGTTGGTTTCAAAAGCTAGTTGGAGAGTTATCTCGTAAAATTTGTCATCAGTACTTGACAGTTATCTAAATTATACATTGGCAATAGTTGCTTTGATTAATAGCCATTGTTTTGAATTCAACTGCTGCAGAATGTTTGCTCGCTTGGTTGTGTATTTAAAGTTTGAAATGCTTGAGGACAAGCATTGTCTTGGTGTGGGGGAATTTGATGGGGATATAATTATGCATTTTATTTGTGGTTATTTGGTCTTAATTTTGGTGGTTGGGCCAAAATTTGTTTACTAGTCAATGATAACCAGCGGAGTATAGCCGAATATTGTTCACAAATAAACACCCAAGTAAAATTAAAACCATGCAAGCCTACTTCATTTCCTTAACATGGAGAACTAAGATTAATCGTTGAACCAGTTCACACAAAAATGTCAGAAAAATATTTACAATGCCTAGAAAAGTTAACCAAAAGAAATTGCAAGAGTCACAAAATCTCAAATATTTACCAGAGAGTCATCCTAAAATTTTACCATATCATACTTAACATATTATCATCTAAAACCATAACAATAGTTAAATTTGAAAATCTAGCCATTACTTATCAAGGCTAACCACAAAAATCCAAAAGGCATGGTAAAGGTTTTTTTTTTTTTTTTGCGCCAAAATTTGGTGGGTGTCAAACCACCAAAAATAAAATTTATATTAGACCTACTACCAGTTGTATAATGGGGCTTTGTGCTAAGTCATTTTTATTTTGTTTGGCATATGTGATTTTGGTAGATTACTTATGGGTCAGTGATCAAGTTGATGCATGAGAGAACAAAGTTTAGGCTGCATTCACATGATGTACCATATGGCTCTGGTAGTGGGCAGCAATCCGTCACTGGTTTTCCCAACGTTGATGACTCAAACAGCTATTGGGTATGTTTCTTTTTCTAGTATCTATTTTTTCTAGATCATCATAATTTTCTAAGTTTAGGTATGATTAAACTTGGCTTGCAGATTGTTAGACCCGTACCAGATACCAACGCCCAACAAGGGGATACAATCAAAGGTGGTACCATCATCAGGCTGCAACACATGAGGACCAGAAAATGGTTACATAGCCACTTGCTAAATGTAAGTCTTACTATGATGCCTATTGGCTTCTAAGGTATCAAACCAAAAACTGATACTCGAATCACTTGTGCTTTTTCATACCAAAAAGGTACCTAGCAGACCTGTTTGAAAGAGCTGAGATCAACTCAGTTTTAGACTGGCATCACGCCAATCTATGACATAGTTCAGGTGCCCATCTTAAGTTTTGGCTCTCTATTAAATTATTACTAATCTAGCTGTACATTATTAGCTTGTCTTCCCTTATCAAGAGAATTGGGATTTGTCTAGCGATGTCTAGATATAGTCATTCCAAGTTTCATTTTCAGTATTTTGCTTATAAATGATACGTTATCGATCATCAATATTAATGTTGTACTCCTTGATGCTGCGCTTATTTTTCTTACAGCTGGATTAGTCTTCCATAGCAAATGGATCTTTTTTGAAGTCATTATGATCTCATCCCATGAAATAATTTTACCTTTCTTTGTTATTTGATTGTTGCCTATGAACATTTTGTGTGCTTCCAGTTAATTGATCTTTAGGAGAGTCATTCTAGATTTATTGTCCCATAACAATCTTTAGCTAATATATTACTGGGTTTCTTTTGGGTTGGCAGACCACACTTTTGGATTACATCAGGAAAAGCAAGGTATGAATCGATTATTTTTATTGATGTTCACATTGAGGTACATTATTTGTAATGCCATTATGATTTGATGACTTTAGAAGAAGTACCTTATTCTGTCTTATGTTATGATACTTGAATAGTTTGGAACTAAATCTTAGACAACCTACTGTAGGTGGCAGCATCTGAAGCAGGTGGAATTACTCAAGGCATGGGGGCATACAAGGTACAAGTACCTTTTGATGGCAAGCCACAGACTTGTGTTTTCCTTGACACCCCTGGACATGAGGTAATTAATGATGTAGCACTGGTTCTAACTTTTAACTGCTTATTCATGCAAGTTTTTTTTCCTTTTTTTAAAATTTTTATGTCAAATGCTCTTCTTGGAGATTTTGCAGACATATCTTAAAAGGCCTTTGTCAAGATGAATTATCTAACATAATTGTAAAAATAGTTGGATAGGCATTTTGAGCAATGAGAGCTCGTGGAGCCAGAGTAATAGACATTGCTGTTATTGTAGTTGCTACTGATGATGGAATTCGACCTCAAACAGAAGAGGCCATTGCTCATGCCAAAGCAGCTGGAGTGCGAATTGTTATTGCTATAAACAAAGTGCGCTTGCATTTATTCTGAGATTTTCCACTGTGTGTTGGCTTGTATATCATTTAGTCTCATTTGCATTCTGCTTTTGATGTATGAAACATGATGACAAATCTCCTCTTGCTTATGGGAGTTGGCATTTTCAGTTCTCATAATCACAGTACTGCTCAAGTTTGATGTTTCTAGATTTTTGCATCATAGCATATTATCTTATATGCATTCTGTTCTTTGGGATAATTTTAAAAGTCCTTTGGGTTTCTGATTGACGGAATGTATAGCAGGGAGCATTACCTGCAGGTTGCTTCTATCTCAAAAAAAAAAAAAAAATCCTGACAATTAAAAGTGCCAGCATAGAATTCGATATTCTAATGTTGTACTATACCTATCCTGACACTTTCAATTATCAAGAAAAGGGATTTTTGTTGGCAGATGGGATATTATAACAGCATAGTTTTCCTGACATGTTGAATAGTACGAGTCTATCCCCACATTGGAAGGGACAACACTCGCCCTAGGTGTGAGGATAGATAAAGTGTCAGGTTAGATTATCTATACTGACACTTTTAAATGCCGTTAAAGGCCATTTTTGTTGTAGTGTGAAGCAATGTTTTAGTGAAAATCTACATACAAAAACTTATAATATGTAGTACGTGAAAAGGAAAAATATGTAGTATGTGAAAAGAAACAGGCCTCCTCCTTCCTCCTATCCATGTCCTTTAAAATCCGTCTTCCGTCCTCCCTCCTCCTCTCCCCTTCTCCTCCTTACCCCTACCTACCCTGCTCCTCCTTCTTCTTGTGACTAGGTCTGGTTGCTGTGGCTAACCAACCTAGGCCACATGGGTAGGAGTGGGGTTGGGGGGTAAGGATTGATGGGATGAGGAAGTGTCGGAACGAGGAGGAAAGGGAGGAATAATAAATAATTTTTAAAAATGCCCCAAAAATTCTAAATTCTAAAGCACTGTATAATATATTTGCATAGTATAGATTTTAGAATACAATACTATAACAAAAAAATTTTTTGTGAAAGGCATCCTAAGAAATATTTAATCCATACGGGACTCCAGCTTTCTCGTCCTCGGAATCCTCCTCCATCCTTCAACATCTTGATGGATGATAGCTAACAACCTCAAATCCACGCTGGACGAATGATGGCTGGATATCATAAATGAGAGGCATGACGGTGTAGAACAAGTTGAGGAAATTAAAACCTGAGTAATTTTACAAAACACAGAATGCATAGGAAGGACTGCTCCCAAAATTCTGTTAGATATGTTAGTGTACTGGTCCAAAAATAAAATAGTGAAAGAGAATGCGATCTTGGCCAATCGAAACATCGTATTAGCAAAATAATAAAAATAAATCATAAGTGGACCGGTCCCGAAATATTGAGGATAAGAATGGTCACAATCGGGGTTGTATGATAATGTTAGTGTCAATCAATGTCAATATTAAAAGAAGAAAAAATATGCAATCTAGCGTGAAGAAAATGTGCATAAATCTGATTTTACATGTTCCAACCTGTTGGCACAAAAATATGAAGCAAAGTGAAATTTTTTTAGTCATTTAATATAAGTTATTGCCACATTAAACTTTTTTATCATTAATCAAATCTCTACCTTTAAGATAAAGGGCAATGCTACAGTGCCGATAGTTATGGTAACGATAGTGGGGCAACCTGCAATTGCAGGTTCCTATTGACTTTGGCAACACACAAGGCTTTTTAGCACGCTTTCAAATATTGTACTATAATAATTAATATTAGTGTTGGCAAGTTTTTCAATAAAATAGGTAATTATTTCTTGTAAATAGTAAATTTTACTTACAAATAGAAATTTATGCTTTGAGTAATCAAATTTGCTCGTTATTTGATAAAATTCATTTTTTACTTATTATTTGATAAATTTCATTTTTTCCTTAAATTAAATTTACTAAAAGGAAAAGGAAAATTTTTTGCATCTTTAAGTAAAAATTACCACTAGATGATGGTGGCCTACTTGCCCAACCACACACTTTACTCTCTAGACCAACTTTTAACAATGTAAAATTGGTGTCATTAACAATAGTTGAAGTTCCATTAACATTGCTTTATCCAAAGGTAACATTTAACCTAAGTAACAAAATAAATGAAAGCTTCTTTAAAAAAAAAAAAAGAAAATATTTGCTCAATCGATTTTGTTCAAACTAAAATTTCTATTAATGGATTAGTAGCATATGCTAAATTATATTTTCATTTGTTGGAAATCAATATGCATAAGATATCACCGAAGGACTAAATAATATTGATCTCTTAAACAAATCATACCTAAACTCATGATATGATACGTTGTGCAATGCTCACCTTTATACTCATGCTATTGTCTTTTTTTCTATTTGTTTTTTGAATGTGCAAAATTCTTTTGAATATATTGGTGGAAAAGCAAAATATCTTTTACAAAATTATTCCAATTTATTTATAAAATGTTAGCACTTTAAGGGAAACTATGTATTATAAGAATGGTCTGATACTTTTCTAGTGAACATAACTACTACATCAAAAACTATAGGATTCTTAGAACTATAGATGTAGGAGTAAGAATGAATACTAGTAATTATGTGTTAAATTTGACAGCTAAAATAGCGTACACTACAGAAACAAAAAAAAAAATGGTTTTGCTGCGAGCGAAAAAGAAAAAAATTAGGGTTCCAAATTTATGTGCAAAAATGTCTTTTTGGCACAAGTTTTACAATTGTGGTGTCAAAGAACTTGTTACCACCGTATCTTTTCCCTTCCTTAATTATTTTTGTAAATAATAAACTTATACCCTAATGATTAAATACGTGGTCAAAAAAATATCAGTAGCTTTGTCACAACTTTCATTTCATTTGGCATAGTAATACCTATAAATATTACGTAATGAATTAAAATTGTATTTTGGTCAACTTTAATATTATCCAATTGTCATTAATCACCTTAATCCCAAATATACATAGATTGTAGAAACATAGACAAAAGCACTACAGACTACTTGTTTTTATAAACAAACACAAATTAGGTATTTAATGAACATATAGCATGACGAACAAGTCATTCGAAAGTATTTCAAGAATGGTCAAGCATTTTCTGTTGTGATATATTCAATTGTGCATATAGGCCTCATTACACAAGTTTATGTAAGGCACAGAGTACATGCATGTAATTTACTTATTGAAAACCAATGTCATACTTGGAGGCCATTTCTTTTAGCGTATGGAAATATACATATGGAAAGAATAGGAGGAGTAGAAATAGAGCAGATGCTGACGTTTGTAGGATCATTTTGATGTACTTTTCACTCCTAATTGAACGATTAGGATGCACTAAAGTCAAACGAGAGGCACTGGATTATGTGCTGTGCTTGATGTATACACATTCCTACCGATTTAATACCAATCCAACTCTTCAAAACCCATTGCACTTTCCCCATCCCTCACCAATCCCGGCATCCCAGCAAGACAGTAGATTCTTTGTTTCTCTTGTACTCAAAGAAAGAAAACAAAAAAGAATGGAGGAACAGATTACCAACACTAAAATTCCAATCATTAAAATAATTTCGGATCTTGGTTTTTCGCAAATCAATTTGTGCTTAAAATTCCTACCACTTTATATCTCATTAACATGGATTAACTGATTCATATGATTCTCAACCTTTTTTTTTTTCCTTCTGGGTGGTAAAATTGATTGCTTGCGTTGAACAAGTGTTCCCCGAAGGAATTTAACACTAGAACGGGGATTAAGTGCATTTAATTTCTAAAACCACAAGGGAGTTTCCAATAATTGGTAGAAGGGAATGTTTTTGAAATTATCGCTAAACATTATATATGCAAATACATATTTCTATCATGGTTGATTATCCTTGCGATGGCAAGATTCTCAATTTAAAAGGTTAATTTAGCAACTGGATACTCATAGGTCAAAATGTAGGACTGTATGCGTGGATTATGATAAGTGCTTATAAAAGTTCAATTAATTTTCACAATGAAAATTCGAAGCCATGAATTGTTCTTTTATGCAAATATTTTTCTTGCATTGATAATGTATATATTAATGATTTTTTATGCATAACGTATGTGAAGGACCTTTTTTTTTTTTTTTTTGATCTTTATATGAAGGATTTAGAATTTATATTTGACTAAGTAATTGCTTTCTCCACCAAAAAATAATTTTGTTGCAGGCTTGACATATACTAGTAGAATAATGTAGAGTCTAGTCTTCTCTGCTGCTTCCATGCTAGAAATTCGAGTTTGCTATGTATGTTTGTTTTTGTTTCAGAGACTGAAATTTCCGAATTTTTACGGTTGAATTTTGTTTGTTTTTGTTTGAGAGAGTGTCTGGTGATGCTGAATAGTAACTATTCTTCAAGCTTAGTAAGAATGTGAATAAGTATTATTTGGCACATGTTGCATTTGGCACCTACAACGAACTCTTCTATAAATGGTCCGTCATTCGGCAGCCAAAATCACCACTGCAAAACCCCTAAAACAACTAAAAAATATATTCAACATGGCTGCTAGTTTACGACCCCTCTTCTTAGCAATAATACCCCTGCTGATGATTTCATCCTTGATCAGCTCCTCAGAAGGCGCAATTGGGTTCTACTGGGGCCAAAATCCTCATGCTGGAAACCTGACCGAGATATGCCTCAATGGTACTGGTATCTATGAATACGTGGCTATCGCCTTCTTAAATTTCGAGGGTAGCAAAACAGTCTTGAGCATAGATGACCATTGCAATCCGAGCATCCCGGATAAGTGCGCCTCCCTAGGTCCTATGATAGATTTCTGCAAGGGCCAAGGCATCAAAGTATTTCTTTCCCTTGGTGGGAGGCCTGATCTTTCTCCTGATGATGCTCAGAAAGTTGCAGATGATATCTGGAACAAGTTTTTGAATAATAGTGCAGGCCATGGTCCTCTCAATGCTACTGTAGATGGAATAGACTTCCGTATCCAAAGCGAATCAAACCAGAGTCTGGATGTTCTCGCCCAGGCACTCTCGGCTTATAGCACACCTGACAGAAAGGTGTACTTATCTGCAGCACCACTTTGTCAAATTCCTGACTATTATCTTGACACTGCTATCAAAACTGGCGTCTTTGACTACGTGTGGGTGCAATTTTTCGGTGATCCTTCATGTGAATACAGTCCAGAAAGTCCGTCTCCCCTCATCAGAAGTTGGATTGCATGGTCTTGCTATCTAGACAAATATAATACTACATTATTCCTGGGATTAACAGGAGATTCTGACGATGACGGTTACATCCCATGTGTACCGCTAGTCAGTGAGATTCTTCTCTTTGTGGAGTGGTTTCCCAAATATGGAGGGATCATGATGCTTCAGGGCAAATACTATTGCCTTCTTTTAAATCATTCCAGTGAAAAAATCAGGTCTTATGTTAATTCTGATGTTATGGCCTATGGTAGAAAGTCCATGAATAAGTTCCAAGCCATCTAATCATGAATAAGTTCCTCTCGTTACCTGCTGAGAGATGAAATGTAATCCTGGTTGTTTGCCAGATATGTATAACTATGGGTTATGAATTCCCAAATTAAATAAAATGTTGGAGGATAAATATATATTGTGCTTTGCGTTATCTCTTGCATGAACAGGTACTGAGAGATTGGACAACTCACAAACTACAGTATTAAATATTGTTTCGCGGCATCTTTTAGATTAGTTTCAAGAAATCGGAGCTTTTTAATTTTCTTATTAGACGAATTTTTCGATGGATTAAAGGTAATTTGACGACGATCCTTGCTTTTTCAAAACAAAGCACCCAATTAGTCCTCTAACTTTTTTTTTTCAAATCACCTTTTGTCATTTAACTTCAATTTGAGACATTGTGATCCTTTGACTTTTGTTTTTGGATCAACTTGCTCGTCGGTCTTTTACCGACCATCTTAAAAGGGGCAAAGTGGTTAAGTTATATTTCTAATCACTGTACCAAGTCTTAAAATGACCCTCCTCTTTCCTGCAAATCTCAACAGTGTTTGGAGTCATGTTCAAGCACAGAATTATACTAACATTCCAAGACACAGCTTCCAATAATTTAGAGTTATTAGTTTCAATTCTAGCATCAAAAACTGAGTTGCACAAGCATTTCATGAATTGCTGAAAACTAATTCATTTTGAATTCAACTTTTTTTTATATATTTATACATAATTCTTTTATTTATTTATGTGTTTATTTTGCTTTTATTCATAATTGTTTGGGGTGGGTTAAACTGAAAACTAAAGTATGAAATTTGAATATTGAAATTCTAAGTGTTCAACCTTAACTTACTCAGTTTTTAAAGTTATATGTGTTTGATAATGAATTGAACTTTGAAAATGGAGTAAAGATATTCTTTTCCATAAGGCCTAAAAAAATCCTATCAATATGCAGTATATAGTTTAATACAATTATACTTTAATTTTACATTGAATTAGTTTTCAAAAGCTTGCATGTGTGAGAGGGAAAGTATGTGTTTATATGTGAAAATATATGTTTGAGAGATAGAAATGTGTTAGAGAAGGTATTATGTATTTGTGAGAAACAAGGACGGAGAAAGAGATTGTGTCTTGAAACTGTGCACGAGGAGGCCTTGAAAAGAAGCTTGTGGGAAAAATTCTTAACTAATCTGGTGCCAAATGCAAATGCACCTCAAATTAGGAGTGTGCATGACAAGTGCTGGGCCTGTGCAATAATAAAAACCTGCTCAACTAAAGTTAATTTTTGCAAATAGTGGTAAGCAGGGTCGAATCTACAGGGATTGGGAGTGACTGTTTCTTTTCAAATCCACAGTAATAAAGGAGGTGTTTTTGTGCAAAAGATGACAATCAAAGAAATTCAAATAAAATCTAAGAAACTATTAAAAAAGTTACTAAAATCAAATGAATGATAACTAAGGCTCTAGGCAAGAAATAACTTTAGCAATGGTGCATCTAATTGATCATCGAAGCAAAGGCAATTCCAATTATTTATCAATAAATAGGTTATAACTACCAAATAAGTGATGGCAGTCAACTCCTCCTGACTGTGTCGGTGATTAAGGTACGCTCGTTAATCACTACTCTAATTAGGAAATAATCCTAGGTACGCCCGTAAGATTTAATTTTCCAATTGCCTTACGTATTAGAGGAGCCCTATTCTAACCAAATAACATACTACCAGGGTTATTTTAGATTAGCCTGCGTATCCCCCATTAGTGACACAAACCCAATTATGTCAGTTGTCACTAATTCAAGGCAATTAAACAATTACGGATTTAATGCCCTAATTGACAATAGATTATCAAGTTAACTAATTATCCGGATCCAAGACAACCAGTTAATTAAATAATCATAAGTACTGCAATCGAGGAATATGCGAATACCAATAAATAAAAGGAAAAGATAAAATTTAATCAATCTCACAATTTTTAGGCGAACCAGAGCCTCCGTTGTCCCTTGACTAGAGTGGAAAAATTAGTTCATATCTGATGAACAAAACCCACAGGAAATTGAAGCAAGAGCTGCGGCCATCAATTGGAAAATGGGTGAATTCAATTCGCCCTATTCAATAAGGAAAGCAAGCTACAGGAGGCAATTGATTGTTTTTGCTTCCTCTGGCATACGGAGGAAAAGATACTACTAAAGCTAGAAGGGAAGTCAAGTCCCCAGCTACGCAAAAAGACGAAAGACTAAATAAGAACAAGAAGATAGTCCTAATCCTTTGCAATTTCTGGTTTTTATCTCCTGCTCTAGATGTGCGGCGGCTCCCCAGGGAAAGGAACCAACCCCTCTTCGATTCAGCCAATGCCCAAAAGAAAGGGTCAAAATTTTTTTCTTTTCCAAAATTGCCCCTGGGACAAGCGTTGCTACTTGCACTCCTTTTCTGTCAAATTGGTACTTGTTATCATATTTTTATTCTACTCCATGAAATAAATGCCAAATACTAAAAGTGAGTAAAATCCAGCAATTAATCCACATCAAGTTAGGTAATAGGGAAAATTAATAATAAAAAAATAATAAAACTGCACCCTATCATTTGCCCCCACACCTAAACCGTGCTTGTTCTCAAACATGAGAACAGCAAACAAACACTAATATTTGACAATGGCTATTGCTCTATCTACCATATTGCCAAGATACCAAGAAAAACATATATCAAGCATCAGTGATCAAAATCCGAGAAGCATCACTCCGGTTAATTTCTAAACCACAAATTCCTCTAATTTCAGGTTAACTAATCTAAGAAAAAGGAATGGTCGCTCAACATTACCAGCAAATGGTCCAGTTATTAACCAAAATCTCAACATTAAATTCACAAATCGGCAAGCTAACTTTTTCACACACTAACACAACCTTCACCTTTTTGTCACACTTTTCTATTTTTTTTTCTTTTTTTCCCTTTTTTTTTAAATAGGAACAAAAGACTTAGTCTCTAGCCATCGGAGTCTTTTAACACGAACTCCGACATTTGTCAGATGAAAGAACCCGATTACTCATCTCCTATCGCCACGTGACCACGTACTCATAGCAATTACTATTTTTTGACGTGAGAATCGACACTTTTGATGAAGATCCCCGGTTACTCGGTAGTAAAGACTAGCGGAGTACAGTCAACTCTTATTCACAGCTAAATAACACAAAAACTCAATATAACACAAAGAAAACAAAAGAAAATTTGCATCAGCTAGCCTCATTTTCAAAAATGGAGAACTAAGGTTAATAACCGGACCAATTCACATGAAAATACCAACAATCATTCCCTATGCCTAGGAAAGCTAACCCAGAATTATAAAAGTCACACAGTCTTTGATATTCATCCAAGAGGTATTCTTAGACTCAACCACGTCCACTTGATACACTTTCGTTACTAAAATTTGGCAAAAGTAGAAATAGAGGCAACAATCCAATATCAAACCTTGGCATGCACATACGAGCTAATCACTAAAAAGAAAGAAAGAAAATGAATGAAAGGTAGACAAATAACAAACTAAAAATAAAGAAAAAAAATCTAAAAACTCAAAACTAAAGACACTAGCACCATAACTGCTCCCCCCACACCTAAATCCTACATTGTCCTCAATGGAGGAAATAAAGCAATTTAAAGCGGAGAGGACAACGAAACTTCCCTCTCAAGTGGCTAAGGGGTAGCCAGGAACGGTAGAGGGAAACCGATGTGATGGAAGTACGCGGCCAAGTTCTGAGACATCATAACTCAATTCAACCAGCAAATGCAAAACTCTATCCACCCAAAATCTCAACAAATGGCTCCAGTTGGCCAGTTAATGCCTTAACTCAGAATCAGTAATTTCAACAATGACAGCTTAGATATTTGACAATAATAACTCAGCCAACCAAATAGAGGTACCCAATTGAGGTCCAATTATCCCACCAATACCACTGGTGTAGCAAACAACGGAAAAGAAATCACACACGACCAATACCAAGTCACTGATAAACCAAAATAACAACTAACACTACCAACAATTGAGGACCGAGTTACAAATACCTCCATGGGTCATCGAGGGAAGAAGCAGGAATGGAGGAGAGGGAGAGAGTGGCGCGCGAAGTAGCCGCGCGATGGGCTGCCGCGGCTGTTGGCAGCTGCGGCCGCGGGAGAGAAAGAGAGAGAGATGCGCAAGGGAGCTGCGGTGCTTGCCCGAGTTAGAGGAACGGCGGCGAGGTGGTGGCCAGGAGGCGGCCCGTGCTTGCGTGGCGAGATGGATGAGCGATCGAGGCTGAGATCGCGCGCTTGGTGGCCAGCCTTGGGCTACGGGCGGCCGATGAGGAGGTGGCGGCGATGGAAGGGCTTCGGGTGACACAGAGGAGAACAGGGGAGAAGAAAGAAAGAAGAAAGAAAGAAAAACATAGAAAAGAAAGAAAGAGAAAGAAAGAAAGAAAAGAGAAAAGAGAAAAAAAAGAAAAACAAAATAGTTTGGTTTTTCAAATTTTTTGTGCGGTCGGTTTTTTTTTATTAAATAAAAATTTGTACTTTGGAAATCTAAGCTATGGTGAATCAAAATTTTAAAAAAAATTTTAATTAATTTTTATTTTATTTTATTTTTTTGCAAATTTTATTTTCGAAATTCAAAATTAGAGATTAACAGAAAATCAATAACCGTTCTTGAGTTTTTTTGAATATTTACCTTTCCCGCGAATGTGATGTGGGCACGTGACAAAGGCACGGAATGAGGAGCTCTCTAGCTGGCTTGACGCGGGCACGTCATGAGGGCAAGAACCCTTCTGACCATGAGCTCTCCCTACGACTTGACGCAGGCGCGTCAAGTCAGAGAAATACCTACAAATCATCAAAAATGAACATTGAAGCCAGAAATCAGTCAAATTCAAGGAAAACATATTTAAACTAACAAACAAAACCGAACAAACAACTAAAAGAAATTGGGTTGCCTCCCAATGAGCGCCTTTCTTTAATGTCTTTGGCTAGACATTGTCATGTTTGTTCAGGGAGGATAAAATCTTATGAC